CTTGTATTCACGTCACGTGTCATCTTTACTGTCATTATCAGTTCGGCTGTATCACCTGTGTTTAGTCAATCATCGTCAGCTGTGTTTGCATTTAAGCTCCGTCTGTTCAGTCAGTCTTTGTCCAATCTGCGTTGTAATTAGTGTGTGTTGCTGCCTGTTCCTCTGTCCTGTATTGTTGATCATCATTAAACCTTTGTGATGAAAAGATACCCTAATCTTCTTGTCTTCCTGCAACCTCACGTGACACCTGTAAGTATGTTTCCATATTTTAAGAAAATGTGCTACTGACAATTTAAAGCAGTATAGAGTAGAGCTTGCTTGTCGATTCTACAATCACAAATGCAGACATAGTTTTATGTTTACATAGTGTTCTCACACCCGTAAAAAGACAGTATAAGTCATTATAATCAGTAATTAAGTCAATTAAATAAAATCTTACCAATCTGATACGATCTGGTTCAGTCGCGCTGGAAAAGTTGATCGATCAGCTTGAATTTATTCATTTAGCAGACGCTTTTATCCAAAGCGACTTATGAGAACAATAGAAGCAGTGAAACTAACAATAGGACAACAATATGCAAGTGCAATGACTGGTGAACGTGAAACTCACCAAGTACCACATGTTCCTGGATCAACTTTCCAATCGGCCAATCAGATTTGAGGGACAAGTTTACAGTTTATGTCAAGTTTAGGCTTAGAACCAGGGTGAAGTACTTAGACATCAGTGTTATTCACCTTTCATTACCCTTTGATTTTAGGGAAAAGTTATGGGTAGGGTTAGGTTTAGGGGTAGGGATTGGGTAAGGACTACATTTTGAGACAGGAATGTTGATCCAGGACCATGTCTTACTTGGCAAAATCATGGTGACCTGCTATGACCCCTCTCAGTTTCATCTAACGCGAGTTTAAAAAAAATTTTTTTTAGATAGAATAGAAGAGAAAGTGTTAGTGTTACTGGATCAAGTGCTGCCGAAAGAGAAGCGTCTTCAGCAGTTTCTTGAAAGTGGCTACTGACTCCCAGCTCTGGTTGAGGAACAGACATGGTAAAGGTCCGAGAAAGAGATTTTGTGCCTCTTTGAGATGGCACTACAAGACGACGTTAACTTGCAGAGTCCACGTTTCTGGATGGCACATAAGTCTGAAGTAATGAGTTTAGGTAAGAGGGAGCAGTGCCAGTGGTTTTTCTGTAGGCAAACGTAAGTGACTTGAATTTAATGCGAGCGGCAACTGGCAACCAGTGCAGTTTAATGAGGAGAGGAGTTACGTGTGTCTCTTCGGCTTGTTAAAGACTACTCTGGCTGCAGCATTCACGATCAGTTACAGAGGTTTGACAGTGATGCTGGAAGACCAGCCAGGAGACCATTACAATAGTCCAGTCTGGATAGAACAAGCGCTTGGACAGGGAGTTGTGTAGCTCTGATAGGAAGGGCCTGATCCTCCTGCATCTGCATTATCCGGATCAGATTCGGGCTCGAATTGAATTGAAGGTACAGTACCGACATGATCACCTGTCATTATTGCTTTGGGAGCCAGTGTTGCCAGATTGGAAATGTCCAAGTATCGAACCAGAAGCTCAAAATTATCACATTTGGAAAAAAAATTATCGTACACGAGTTAAACGTACAGAATACAGCTATTTTTCTAGCCCTTGTGTTCTGTTCGATTTCTGTGTACACCCCTTATGGACCGGGTCAAATTGACCCTAATTGGATTCAATACAATTCCTCAAAAATCACACTATGAAAAACAACAAAGATTTAGATACAAACTGTAAACTTTTAATATCAACATTTGTCAAACATTACAAAAACATTATATCTGAAAATATGATTTATGAAAATGTTTTAAAAACATTTTTTAAAAGTTTTGTTTTGACAAAATTGGAAAATAAACAGTATACTGATGTTTTTGCATATATATATATATATATATATATATATATATATATATATATATATATATATATATATATATATTTTACATTTTATGCTTTGAACATCGTAACTGAACAAAATTTTTTTGCTGTATAATGAAATTTTTTCATTTTCCTAAGTTAACTTTCCCTAGTTTCCTAAGACCTATTTTCCTAGTTTCATTATTCATTCACTGGGAAGTGAGAAACCAAACATAACAAAAACACACATCAAATAAATGTTTTTTATTTATTTTTTGGCTCTGTGAAGCTGCCTTTAAAAATCCTACATAAAAGTTTTGGTTAAAAGCTAGGTATTTTAGATATTTTGAATATTGAAATGAGAGCTTATTTTACTATCTGTGTCTGACAAAGATTTTGTACACTGTAAAAAAAAAAACAAAGAACACTGTAATTTTAGCTTTTTCAAGTTGGTTAGGGTTAGAGCAATTTTAGATGCACTTGCACGTTAGAACTGGAGTTGAAGTGCCCTTACATACAGAAAATAAATGTTTTTATTTTGTGTCTGTACAGTTGCTTTTGAATGGCTGTCTATGAGGGTCAAATTGACCCGCGAACATCACGAACGTAACAGTAATTTTGTTTGTATATGTCAAAACACATCAGCATGTTGAAACTTTGCATGCATGTTCATCATGATAAATGAGAAAAAGTCACAAAATATCAAGAAAAAAAACAAAAGTTAACCAGTATTTCCAACAACTTGAAAATCGAAACGGGTCAAATTGACCCGCAACATAACACAAGGGCTAGACCAACAACTTTTTGACACAACCTGCAAATTACTTTATTGCTAAACTATTGACCTCCGCTTGGCAACAACTGACCTAAATGTTCACTTTTTTCTTGCAAAACATACAGAGATGACATGATTATGATATACAACTTTGTATACAGTATACAAAGGGAATGTTAACTTGTGAGTTCTCCACGATGATTGGCCGAGAAGACAAGTAACGTGAGATGAGATGGAAGACATAATCATGACAGTAGACGTAATCCACAGCTAGATCAATGTGTATAGAAGCCCATGATTACAACAACCATCATTTGAAGTGCCACAGAATTCTGAAATGATCGTACATTGTGGGATTTTTTTCATTATTGATCGTACATCGCATGCTCTGGGAGTTGTAATGTGGGAAATGTAGTGTGTTTAGCTGAAGCCTCAAAGCTCTTCCTGTGGCTGTAGTTTCACTTCCTGTTTGGCAAGTGTGAGCCGAAGACATCTCATGTTTAACTGAAGCTAAAGGCCTCCTAATATAATGATAAAGCTATTATTAAGCATCTCAATAGCAGTTTCTTTTGGGAGCCCAAACTAATCTGTGCCATTTATATGTTGCTTGCAATGATTTATCAGGATATTCAGCTGCTTTTGAACGGTGCAGTTACAACATCAACCAGCAGGAGTGAACAGATGAAACCAGACAAACCTTGCATTGAACATCCAACAAGGAAACGATATTCACATTAATAACTACAGACACAACATAATTGTTACGTAACATGGTACTTAAAAAAAATTATCACGACGAGGAATAATTCTAGAAGGAAGACTTTAATAAAACACTCAGGAACCAGGAACAAAAGCAAGAGAAAACCACATTACAACAAACGTTAACGAGAAGCGACAGAGACTGAGAGAGAACACAGGGTTTAAATACACATGGACTTAATCAAAGAAACAAGACACAGCTGACATGACTATCGAGATCATGACTAAAGCCCCGTTCACACTACACGCGACGTGATACCATTCATTTCAATGGTGAGCGGGCGACTTCCGGCGACACGCGCGACAGCGACCGTTGGCGACTAGATGGGGCGTGTCTGGCGACGCGACAAAGTTGAGAAATTTTTAACTTTATGCAAATGAAGAGCGATTTTCGCGAGCGACAACCAATAGGAGTGGAGCGCACGTGATCCTTCTCCTCAGCCCCTGATAGCGACAAGAAAGCTGATTCGCTGTCTTTTGGATGTCATACTAGTCAACCAGTAGTGGGAACGCCCACTAGCGACCTCATCGCCAGCGGCTGGCGACTTGCAGCGAAAAAGTCGCGTGTAGTGTGAACGGGGCTTAACACAGCTGAACTGAAACTCATAATCAAGGTGTCCATGGCAACTAAGGAGTGGCGGGAAAAGAACAAAGCAAAACAGGAACCGTGGTATTGTCATTTCCATACAAGCATCGGTACAGTGTGTGATACAATAATGCTTTGAGAAACTTCCCATCACTAATAATAACAATAAAAACACACACCAAATACTGGATTCAAGAAGATGAATCTGATCTTTCTGAACTCTATAATGAACAGACAAGACAAGCTTGATTATTACACATGTTCAGTAAACCGATGAAAATGACGAGGATGAAGATGATTTAGTATATTATATTGTAACTATTATATTTTAAAATTGTGATAGACCGATGCGATGAGGAGAAGTAAAATAATAGTAATGAAATCACACAATTGAGGAGTTTTCGGACAAAAGTCATTTGTGACAAGTATTGAATCTGGCCGCGACCCCTGATCTCTTGGGGTTTAAAATCTTCAAGTGTGTGTCCAGCCTGAGGTTTGGTGTAATGAACTCATCTGTGTTTATGAAGGAGTGCTCGAGTCTCATATGACGTTATAGTTTATGAAACACAGCTGTAAAATACAGTTGTTTCTGTGTCTCTGTCCTCTAGATTACAGAAGCGTCCAGTGTCTTTGACCTATAATCACAGAAACAAGAGTTATTAAGTTAATAGAGAAAAAACTCAATCAAAGATAGTCTATAGTTTTTACACATGAATATGATAATTCACACACAAGCTGATAGAGATTCAATGCCTGAAGATCATAAACACACAGTCCTGTTTCAGGATCATCACAGTGTTGAGCAAGACATTAAATCTGGTTGTGTTTCAATGGATCTGCGAACACAATTACTACTGTAAACCTTGAGTTCAATAAATAACCATAATCATCAGTTTCTGCTGACTCACCTGATCATAAATCACTGGATTAAACACAACAGTGGCGGACGACAGCAGACCTGAGCAATAGATCAACATTAGTCTTTCTTACATATTCACTTCTTCAGTTATCTTATAGCTCATAATTATAAGATCCTTTAACTCAGTTCTCATGCATTTCATCACAAACCCAACCAAGTATTTAGTGTGAAATATTACCTTTATTCTTCTTTCTCATCCGCACAGCCACTATAATCAGTGGAAATGCTATCAGGAGTAAAACTAAAGCCTCCGCAGTGATAATGATAATCACAAATGAACCTGAAAAACACAAGAGAAACAGCCAGAAGAATCACAATATCAGAGAAAAAAAGATACAAATTGGTGACTTAATCAAAGATTAACGAGTTCGTTTGCCCATAAAATCTTTAAGATATTAGGTTAAACTTATTTGGCTTGCTGTCCGCTGGAGAGGGGCTCGATGAAGCAGCTTCAACTCGAGCTCTGATATACCCCCCAGTGGCTAAATGTAGGACCTGTTAATTAAAGGGCAAGGTACCTAAGATGAAGGTGGAGTTTGGGGAGGTGGAGGGATACTGGAACAGCTGATACTAGGGAGATGCTCCTTATATACTCTGTTGATTGAAAGATTGGATGGGCTCGCTCCTCCCTAACTTACGTTTAGGAACTTCATCTAAAGCATGAAATTAGATGTATATGAGGCTTATTGAAAGTCATGTTGCCATGACAACGTCTGTCAGACCTTTGACCTCCTGTTGCGGTGAGGAGAGAGACGAACGCTGAGATGTGGAGAGATGTTCACCTGTGTCCGGTGAGGAAATAACCAGAGATACAGCATATTAAAGGCTGAAGAGATGTTGAGATGAAGAGATGAAGAGATGAAGTGATGAAGAGATGAAGAGATGAAGTGACAGAGAGATGAAGTGATGAAGAGATGAAGTGATGAAGAGATGAAGAGATGAAGTGACAGAGAGATGAAGTGATGAAGAGATGAAGTGATGAAGAGATGAAGAGATGAAGTGACAGAGAGATGAAGTGATGAAGACATGAAGTGATGAAGAGATGAAGAGATGAAGTGATGAAGAGATGGAGAGATGAAGTGACAGAGAGATGAAGTGATGAAGAGATAAAGTGATGAAGAGATGAAGTGACAGAGAGATGAAGTGATGAAGAGATGAAGTGATGAAGAGATGAAGAGATGAAGTGACAGAGAGATGAAGTGATGAAGAGATGAAGTGATGAAGTGATGAAGAGATGAAGTGATGAAGAGATGAAGAGATGAAGTGACGGAGAGATGAAGTGATGAAGAGATGAAGTGATGAAGAGATGAAGACATAAAGACATGAAGAGATGAAGTGATGAAGAGATGAAGAGATGAAGTGATGAAGAGATGAAGTGATGAAGAGATGAAGTGATGAAGAGATGAAGTGATGAAGAGATGAAGTGCTGAAGTGATGAAGAGATGAAGTGATGAAGAGATGAAGAGATGAAGAGATGAAGTGATGAAGAGATGAAGTGCTGAAGTGATGAAGAGATGAAGTGATGAAGAGATGAAGAGATGAAGTGACGGAGAGATGAAGTGATGAAGAGATGAAGTGATGAAGAGATGAAGAGATGAAGTGATGAAGAGATGAAGTGCTGAAGTGATGAAGAGATGAAGTGATGAAGAGATGAAGAGATGAAGTGACGGAGAGATGAAGTGATGAAGAGATGAAGTGATGAAGAGATGAAGTGATGAAGAGATGAAGACATAAAGACATGAAGAGATGAAGTGATGAAGAGATGAAGAGATGAAGTGATGAAGAGATGAAGTGATGAAGAGATGAAGAGATGAAGTGATGAAGAGATGAAGTGATAAAGAGATGAGGAGATGAGATGAAGAGATGAAGTGATGAAGTGATGAAGAGATGAAGAGATGAAGTGATGAACAGTGTAGCCATGGTCAGATCTGCCATTTTCTTAAACTGCTGGTTTTGCATTCTTTTAATTCAGAGACTATGACAAAAGTAAGGGTCATTGGGACTGTTGATTAGGTTACCGAGTCAATCACAAAGTCTCTCTGTTGTAATTTGCCACACAAAGCAAATGGGGCTTGGACTTGATTGAATTACTGACTCTGATTCACACACTGGCGTTTGCCACGAATGGTTAAACAAAGAAATGCATTGCTTATCACATGTGACACAGACATGTGACCAAAGAGCCTATCTTGGAATCAGAATCACGCGGAAGAACCCCTCCGAAGGTGACAAGACGAACATTGTCCATTCAGATAAGCGCACACACGTGGAATCCCCCTCTAAGAACTCTGAATACACACACACATACACAGACCAGAAGATGACCAAAAGTTCTCCGCGTGACCGACCGCCGGGTGAACTCGCTCATACACACAGACGCACACACATACACGAGAGACAATCATTCTGAACACTATGGTCAAAATCACCCTGTAAAATGTGTGAAATGTTTTTCTGGTTGTGCTTCATGATTCCCTGGTGACAAAACTGGTATAACTGTAAACTTTTATGATATGTGATCAATTTAACATCCGTTTAATCACGGAAAAATCATGTATCTGCATTTCACTAAGCCCTAGGAATGCCGAACTTGGTATGGTTGTAATCAGAATAATCAAAGAAGATTGAATCATCAACCCAAAATGTAATATGATGCATGCTTTTATTAATACTAGTTTAGAAGTGTATTTCGAACAAGTTTTATCCCCTATGCACATGATCCGGGAGGGCGTGAATCACAAGGTCTGCCGACCCGCCCTCCTGCAAAACGGTTGGATCAAACACTGAGAAAGGCGTGTCCCTCGCCCCTTCAAAATAGACCGCCACCTTATCCTCTGTGCAGTTTCCTACGCCAGAGAGAGATTCCTAAACTTTCCTGCTAAACTCCAGCCGGAGTTTTCCTTCTTCGTCGTTTTTCTACTTTGTTTTAAATCTAAGTTGCTTTCTTTCGATCTACCTCAGTTGATAGTTCGGTTTCATTCACGAACGAAACAAGTTTAAGATTAATCGCCTCTCGTACGGGCCGCAGCTGAAGCAATCGCAAACATCTGCCTCCTACCGGAAGACGTGCCAGACAACTCCAACCACGCTGCCTTTGTAACACAACTGCACACAAAGAAGCCGTAAAAGTAACGTACAAATCTCAATTAAGGGCTGCTTAAAGGGGTCATATAATGGTACATGCACTTTTACAAGTTGATTGTACTGAAATGTGTGTTGGCAGTGCCTGTACACAACCATCATATAATGATAAAAATCCATCCAGTGTTTTTGTTTTAATCTCCTTATCTGTTTTCCCCTGCCTCAAATTGAGCCGTTCGTTTTAGTGACGTCAATAAAACGGACGCCCCTCCCGCGATTGTTGATTGACAGCTTGTGTTTCAACACAGACCCGCCCTCGCTCGTCCTGTCAATCATAGTCTGCGCGGACCGGCGCGGTCATTGTTGATATGCTGGAGCACTGTCTATGAGCAGAATGGCGTCTAAGCGATTGTGGTGTTCTGTTCTTGGGTGTAATAACGAACACAGCTGTCATTTTAATGTTCCTAAATCCGAACCGCTGAAGACGCAGTGGCTGAGTTTGTTTTCGAAGGGAATATTCCCCACGAGCAACGCCAATGCTCTCATGTTTGCCGAATCATTTCTCAGTGGACTGCTTTATAAACGAGGATCAGTGTAAAGCTGGTTTTGCTGAGAAGCTGCACCTGAATAAAGGATCGGAACCTATTCGTCTTCCTACTGAACCTTCAGAAGAACTAAAGTGAGTGTAACGTTTTATTAATCTTTATATTAATATTTATATAATCTTTGCAAATCGCCAGCTGCACGCTTCACGATGAATGCGTCGGTTTAAACTCAGGGTACATTACAGCATGTTTTCTATGTACAACGTTCTCAATATAATTCATAATCCCACGTTTATAATGAACAACGTGTGGTTATTGTGTTACAAACGGTGTATGCGCAGAACAGAGGGGCGGAGTCAGCAAAGCTCATGATCATTTAAAGGCATATGCACTGAAACGGCGTGCTGAAAACAGAGCTGTTTTTGACCAGGTAAAATAAGTGTTTTCTTACAATACTAATGAGAATTTTTAATTAAAGTATATTACAAACTTTTAATTTAGACCCTAAAGAATCATATTAGCTTGTACAAAAATGGCATTATATGACCCCTTTAAAGTTGTCTAGATTAATGTTGGAATCCTTTGGGTCTCTGTTGAACTGTTTGAACTCTCACACACTCACTCACTCACTCACTCTCTCACTCTCTCTCTCACTCACTCACTCACTCTTTCACTCTCACACACACTCTCTCTCTCTCTCTCTCTCTCTCTCTCTCTCTCTCTCTCTCTCTCTCTCTCTCTCTCTCTCTCTCTCTCTCTCTCTCTCTCTCTCTCTCTCTCTCTCTCTCTCTCTCTCTCTCTCTCTCTCTCTCTCTCTCTCTCTCTCTCTCTCTCTCTCTCTCTCTCTCTCTGGTGCATGCTGGGAATTGGGAAGGGAATGCATGGGAGGGTGATCTAGGTGAGAGGAACTTTTCAATTTTTCACTATTTCTTGCTTTTTTCTTGTATTCGATTATTTTAATTGAAAAAGGTAAAAAAGTTTTAATAAAAAAATAAAAAAAAATAAAAAACTGAGTTTGTTTTCCGCGAGAGTTGTCTCGTGTCGGAGGTAGGGATGGCGTCTCACACTCACGCGAGTGTGCAGGCGTCAGGCCTGTCGCTCCGGCATGGGATTAGGTGTGTGACCCAGGCAGGTGTGCCTGTAGAGGATGTGTTACTGGACGTGGCAGAGCGCGTGGGCCATGAGAATATTATTTCGGCGTCTCGGATGAACAAGGCCGTAGTGGTATTTTTGAAGGAAGAAAATCTGGTTCATGGTTTGATCGAGAGCGGGATATCGGTAAGTGGCACATTTGTTTCTGTTCAACCTTTAGTTTCAATCACGACGAAGGTGACGGTTTCCAACGTTCCGACTTTTATCCCCGATGCCGACATTGAGCGAGAGCTTTCTCGATTTGGGAAACTTGCCAGTGGAATTAGAACGGTTTCACTTGGTTGTAAGAATGCCGCTTTAAAGCATGTGTTGTCATTTAGGCGACAGGTGTATATGTTTCTAAAAGAACCGACGCTGAATATCTCTTTTCGGTGTGTTTTTGAGGGCAAGTCGTACATGATGTACGCGAGCACGGGAGAAATGCGGTGTTTTGATTGCGGGAGTATTGGACATGTCAGGCTGTCTTGTCCTCATAGAGTTGAACTAGAGAATGAAGCAGGCCCTAGCAATACTTCAGATAAGAGGAATGAAAATGAAGTACAAAAGAGTAGTGTACCAAATGAAGCAGCAGTGGTGAATAATGAGGTTCAGAATGTGGATTCAAATTTGAAGGAAGGAATGATAGTAGAAGATCCATCCACTAATAATGAAAAAGATACAGAGGAAGCTTCTGGTAGTAAGACAAAACAGGGAAAAATGAAGAGAGTTAATGTTGTAACTGATGTGGCTGTTGAGAGAAGCACTGTGGTACAAGGGTCTGGACAGAGTGATACTGTGGTAAAGGGGTCTGAGCAGGGTGATACTGTGGAGAGTTCAGAGAATACAAGCCAGACGAATGATGACGTAAGCGGTTTGAAAGGTGATGTTTTGGAAAGAGGAAAGATAGTATATTTGATTAAGAAGGTGCAATCAGAAATGGTTGATGAGGGAATGGATGATGATGGCAATGGTGGTGGTGGTGATGATGATGATGATGATGATGGTGGTGGGTTGTCTGATTTCTCAGACATGTCAGATGTTTCGCAAGTAAGCTGTGAGCAGGTTTATTCTCTA